ATAATAAAAGGTTCAAATATATAAAAATAATGAACCTATCATTTAAAATAGTTAAAAAGTAAATAATTCCAAAAGAACCTAAAAATCCAACTGACAATTATCAAAGAAAAGAATCCAATGTATAGAACTAACATACAATATATAAGGTAAGAAATAAGAATGATGAATAAGGGGAAAGGAGGGAAAATGAGTAAATTTAATGAGTAATGCTACTTGCAGTAGCTCACTGCAGCAGTCGTCCGATGTGACACACACATGACATGTAATTATTTGATGCATTAATGTAGTAGTTTTTGACTATATTTAATGCATCAAATACACACTTAACATGTGTGTGTCACATAGGGCGACTGCTGCAGTGAGCGACTGCAAGTAACATTATTCAAATTTAATATAAGGACACGAAAACACAAAATTTAAAGCCATGCACGATTCAATCTATTTGGAACACGTGTTACTCATAATTATTAGGATAAATAATTTCTCAAGGACTTAACCATTTAATTGACAATTATCGAAGAAAACACTTTCGTGTTTAAACGAACATTTTGAAGAAAACACTTTCGTTTATATTTACGAACATATATGTTTTTCTTATGATTGATTTTTAAGAGGGAAGGAGAGAAAACCGAGTAATCTAATGTAAAGAAGAGAAATATTACAATCTCTCCATTGCTTTCCTTTTAGGTTTTGCTATTAAACTATAGTTATAATATTTTACTTAATTAGAAGACTTGGATCGATACAACATCAATCGAAATTAAAGATTTGGAAGAAAGATGGAAAAGAATCTCGAATCCCTTCAATAGTTATCGATCAATTTCCTTGAATATCTTCTTCAACCCAAGCAAAGATCGATATGTAAACTTACGTTGGAATAGGTGTTTTGGATCGAATGCTTCGACAAACCTTGTAACGAAAATATTATTCTATAAATTGTTTCCTCTAGAGCTCTTTTCTTTGTAAGATATACCTGTTTTTCTATGTACATGCTCCCCCTTTGAATTAGGTCAAAACTTATGCTCTAATTACTTTTCATGAAGATATTGAATCAAATTAGGAAATCAAATCTTTTTTGTCAGATTACCCCATTTGTTGCGATCATATGGGGTTATACTTTTGCTTGTTGCCATCAAGTCCTTTTTTATTTGTACCATATGTCCTTCATCTTTAAATCTTTATATTTCTATCATCACCTTTCAATAATTATCAATAATTGATTTGATGCAAGTTTTGAAATTTAGTCCTTAAAATTTTCAAATATTTTACTTAGCTTCTGAAACTTGTGAATCTACTCCGATAGCTCTAGTAATGTTTTACATCAATCAAAATTGCTTTTCTTTTCTCCAAATGCATCTAAGTTATTATTTTCCCCTTACATTTAACATATTTACACCAAATTAGGTAGATATCCACTCAACTAGCAATCAATAATCAAGTTTAGAAGTCACGGCTACACTTATAATGGCCAAACAAAATATAAATAATTAATTAAATACGTAAAATTTTATAATGCAAATTAATATAATGAACTAACTCAGACAACTTATACTTTTTCAAGTTAATATTTGTAAAAAAAATACTACAAAAGCTGCTTGATTTTCTTTATGCTCTAACTGAATTCAATATCTTCCCTAGTTTTTTTGCAATGCATACATCACATTTGGTATATATTTTTTCTTTTCGTGATAAGTATTTTTTTAATGTGACGATGCTTGAAAAACTTCTTTTGGCGAAATCATTGATCAAGCAATTATCATTTAAATCATGATCATCTTCGGTAGGCATGCGTATTCAATACCATTGCCATTCCATCGTTATATATGCTAATAATTCCTCAAGATTAATATATATTTTTATCTCAAGATTATTATTTTATAAAGATTTTGCTGTATAGATTAGGAACACATGTTCCTGGTACAGGGTGGATCCTGCCTCCGCTCAGCTGCTACGAGTTCCATTAGTATTGTGTGGGCATACATGTAGCCGTGTCAATGCCGCACAGCTTTCATTTGCTCATCACTTAGGTGGCCAGTTGCATATACATTCCATAGCCAACTAAAACTTTTGAAAAATGATTACATTGAGAATTTATTTTATCATACAAAGCAAAAAAGATAAATAATTTCAATTCACATCAAGGATCTATTTTATTTTAGATAGAAATCATGATAGAAATTATACCTTTATTGAATTCTGCAAACTCATTTTTTTGTCTAGAACATGAACAATCAAGGTCTGCAATCTACAATTTTTCAATTATTCAGCCTCCAATAAAAATCTACACAGAAAACAAGAATGAAAGAATTAGGGTTTCTCTTTTCTTGTGTTAGCAAGAATAATGAATTGTGTTCTATCGTTTTCTGAAACCCTAATAATTTATTAATATAAGTTCAAGTGGATTTGATCAGTCTCTTAAAGTTAAATCGGTCCAATATTTAATTAATTAAATTTGGTTTATAAATTAATTAATTCAATTAATTAACTTGAGCTTATTAACAAGCAATTCGATTAATTAACTATCCAACACTTGTTCATTAAATAATTGGCGAATCTCATTTTTTTCTTTTGTGTGACCCATTATGTTCCTGATCACGATACCTAATAACATGAATTATTATTTTGATCTAAATCAAAATTGATAAATTAAAATACCTCTATCAATTTATCACCAATTCACATTTGTCGTCTCAGATTGATATCTAGTAAAGTTTCGAGCAATACATGTGTTAAGAAATGTCACATGGGATGATATGTCTGTAATAACGATATTTGTATCTCGTTATTACTTACAGTCATCGATAATTGAAAATTCAATCATATGCAATTTTTACCTCACAATCACAACTCATTTTGATTAACAAATTACCAAAACTTGAATTTCCGAATTCTATTATTTAATTTATTAGAATATTTATNTGTCCAAAATTGACTGGACATATGACATAACACTTACCGTTTACATATTTGACTGTTTATAATTGAGGTTTTGATCCTTTTTTCCTCACATCATCCGAAATGAACTGTACGAGAAACGAGAGAGAAGTCGGTCCATTAAGCGATACATATTGGAGCAGGACATGTAGGAGTTGCAGGGCATGATGGTATCGGTCCATTAAACTGTCATGTACCAATTCATTATTAGTTTCCTTAAAATTATGAGATGTAACCCTCAACAAAATGTCTTCAACTTCGTCCAAATATTGATATTCCCTCCGCTCCAATAATATAGGCTGAGATTCCTTTTTCTCTTGTCCCAAATATATAAGCATGTTTCTTAATATAGAATATTTTGTTATATTCCTTTACCAATATACCCTTATTAAATTTTTCCCACTTAATATGGAACAATTCTCATTTCTTTTTTTTCTTCAATTTCTTTATTAGTTCCAACAATAATTTAATTTTATACACTGAAAATTAAATAGGAGTACATTAGGAAAGATCTTAACAAAAATTAACTTTTCTAATGACATTAAAGAAGTTTTTTTAATCCTTGTAAAAAACAAAACAAGCCTATATAATTGAGACGAATGGAGTATATAGCATGACCTTCTGGACATGTATTGCAAAGCACGGAAAATGCCTCTCAAACATTTAGCTCAACCCAACTTTGCTAGTAAACTATTGCTTAAACCTACTTAATTCGTGAACTCGACAAGCCGATTAAATGCTGAATCGATATGCTCGCAAAATCTTGTCCTGTTACTTGGGTGGGTTCAGCAACAAAATAGCGTGTCATCAGGTGACAACCAATGCCTTGCTGTAATGTCGTTAATTTGGTATTGATTAAATACCAATGTCAAATAATCAATAAAAACCACATATTTTATTGATCCCACAATTTTTCAATCACACATTCCATCAATTTTTATATCAAAATTTATTAAAAATCTAATTTTAATTTCCATCGAACGTTATCGTTGCCCTGGATTAAGCGACATTTCCTGAATTAATCAATACCTGGATCTAGCCTATGTCGGTACTTGCTTTCATTAATTAAGCAGTAATTATTAAATCCATTAGACAAACATATATGGAAGATTATGAACAAACATCCTGATTCAAGAACCAATAATTAATAATTATTTATAAATAGGTACTACAACCATCGACAAGGCAAAAGAATCCAAGAACACTACCGAAGTGACGCTTACATTTTTCTTTAATGATATCAGTTCTTTTTCCATGAGACTGGTCGAGAAGATGGATAAGGTAAAGTGCATTGCTAGTAACCCTAGCAACATTCCTAATCTCTCTTTTCACATCAGACTTATTAATATATCCTCCAACCTCTTTGAACCCATCAAGGCAAGTATTCTCGTTAGTCAAGGCAGCACTAACCCATATCTCCACGTTGCTCATGTGCCACCGGAAATCGCCGCTCCGGAGTTGCTGCAGCTCCGAGAGGGTTTCGCTCAGCTCGTCCAGTGAGTTCCCCATTAGCTCTAAGCAGTTGCGTACGGCACCTTGCTCCCTCTTGCTTTGGCTCTTAAGCTGGGCCAAGAAATTTGACGCTGCCTTCGATCGAGAGAGGGTGACTTTCACTCCCGCCTTGGCGAGATCGCGCAAGGTGGTTGCGACGCCGGAGTAGGAAGAGAGGGTTTCGAGGCATATCGCGGGGTAGCTAGCATTGGCACATGATGTACGGACGAGGTCCTTTTTTGGTGCATTTTTGTGATTTTTCGCATGGGTTGAAGAAATTATTGCAAGGAGGAGAATGAGGGAAGAGAAGGAAAAAGGGGTTCTCATTTTGTCAGCTCTTAACGGTCCAATTAGTTGGTGGTGGTGGTGCAGGTGGCGGAGGGGGAGGGGTAGAGGGAGGCAAGTGTCGGCAACTATGTGCTATTTGTCTCGAAAGTGAGAGATAAGGAGGGTAGTTGTTTGTTTTCTTCCGGTTGGTGACTCTTTTAAGTGTGAGATTGGCTGACTAAGAAAGTAAAATTATATATTGTTTGGTTTAAAAAATAATTTCATCCTATCTTATTACCAAAAAAAAAATGTGTATTTTTTTTTATTTTGAAAATTAAAATCGCATTTATTTAAAAAATAAGATTAATTTTTAATCAATTTTCTTGTATTTCGATTTTCTATCTTATTTTTTCTATATATTTCTTCTAATTTTTAGCTTTCTTTTGCTCTTTCTATTATTTGTGTACATTAATAAAGCAAATACATAGTTGTACAGTAATTGCTCAGCAAATAATAGGTCGACAATTTTCCATCACTAGTCGTTGCCCGTGCAAATGCACGGGCTGATTTTTTTTTATAGTACTGTTAGTGTATTAAATATGGTGGAATTTCGTGAATTATATAAATCACGTTCGCTGTGGCGGCATTGTGTGTAAAAATGTTTACTAAGTCATATTATTTTAGGATATGAAAATATGTTTACAAGTGGATAAGGACTATTAAGTTCACATATTCCAAATTAGTGAAACCTTGAGAAATAATTAACAGTATTTCAATCAACAAATTAAGGAATCAGGATGACTATAATCTAGTAGAATATAAGCCAAAAATATGTTTCTATAATAGTTCAATAATTTAAGCAATTGGTAACAAAAACACATTTTGCAGTCATAAGTTTAAAATAGATAGTTTCAAGTTTATAAATCCAATGTTTGAACTTTAGCTATGCTTATTTTTCATTTGGATTGAATGAGTTGAATACCCACTATTACTTTCCTTTTATTGACAATAGTGTTTTATTTCAATAAAAGCATCATATTTCCAAATTGATTCGAGTCAAATAAAAGTATTGACAATAGTGTTTTATTTCAAAAAAAGGATCATATTTCCAAAATCATTCGAGTCAAATAAAGGTAAGATTTATACAGGTATTTTGAAAAATATTATTTATTTAGGTCCGATTTCTTTTTTATTTTTTTCATAAATTTGTTATAGTTTAATTTGTACTATAATAAAAAC